GCCATGCCATGACAGCACAAACTGTCTGTCAGGGGGTGTTTGTAGGAACTTCATCTGCGTCTATCCGCCAGTTTCTTCGAATCTGCCACAAGCTTGCAAATACACGTTTGAATGTCCCAGCAAGCAGGAATGCTTGGGGATACGCTGCACAGATTCAAAAAGGACTACACATTTGGAAGGAATGTTCTGTGGCTATGACTTTCAGTGTCCCGAAGACTACGAGTTAGTTGCTTACAAGCTATTACAAGCCGTAACCAAACTTATTGAATTTAAGGTGCCACAATATGGCATGCGATCTTGGAACTGCGAAACACACTAATCAAGTGTGCTACAACTCGACAGAATGCGGCTCTGATCAAACCTGCAAGCATTGGACTTGCTATTACAATTCGTCTGCGACGGTGAAAGGAAGCATCATAATTGCGGTCATTTTTCTGATCGTTCGACAATCAGTATTCGATTGAAATCAGAAGAATCAAAAAATTAAATGATTACAATTCCTCGGTAGCTCCAGGTTCTCGTTTCCGTTGTAGTCCCGTGAAATTGGCAAAGATTTGACATGTTGTTTCTGCGCTATTGTGAATGATAAAAAAGTAGGTAAGGATAATATCACTGACTACATATTTCCGTACAAAGTTCATACCTGTCTCTGTCATTTGAATCGTGTAGGACCTTGTTTCTAGAAGTTCTGCGAACAACAGAAGAGTTTGGGTAGCTTAAATGATTATTGATGAACATGTCTGGAACATATTGTTGCAGTGCTAATGCCAGCTACGAATAAAAGCTAATATAAAACACTTTTGATTTGTTCCACTCTTCCATCCTCAAAGTCCAGCTTTCCGTTCAAATCGCGAGGAGCCGGAAATTGCCAATAGAATAACTGTGTAGGAATGCTTGGAAAGGGAAACACAGTGGTGCACATTTACATTCTTCCCAGACTCTACGGTTGCCGTGAGTCTGTCATGAACTTTGAAACGGATGGCTAACGAGGTTCTGGTGAAGTTTCTTTGAGCCAATCACCCACTCAGCAGATTTTTCTCCGATTACAGAAATTGCACAGAATTGATCACATTGGCCAGTTTTTATTGGCAACGGATCCGGAAGCTTAAACGGCTATGGCATGGATCTCAAAAATTTTCAAAACAAAAAAAATAGCTTTCAGTGCTAAACGTTAGACACAGTTTGCCATGTTGAATGTGCGAACGTTAATTAGGCCTGGACAGACTACACTGATTCAGGAAGAAGTAAATCATATAGGATTACAGGTACCTGCAACACAAGGGGCGCACTGGCTTGTACTCAACGTTCTGACTGCTAGAACTTATAGCTTGTATTGATTAGGGAATACAATAGCAAGTGCTGTTCATACAGAGTGTTGCAGTGGCAATCAGTAAAAATGCAGGAGCCCTTGTACTATGAAACGCGGTATCTGACCGAATCACTACGGCGAGGTTAACTTCAGGTCAAAGAACGGGATCTGGCGGTTATGCTCTGTCAAGACTGCGATACCGCTTATCATAACTTTGAAATGGAGAGTTCTGATTCCGATCTGTCGAGTAACTTAAAGACGAATCAGACGGAAACCGCCACCAAAGTTGTGGAAAAGGTACCAGAACATCTGCATTGTTGGAGCTTGTAAACTGACTGCTGACGGACGAGCGATGAACGAAGTTAAGACGCGCTATGCATTGGCATTAGCAGTGAGTAGCAAGTTAAACGTGCTCTGACAGTAACACAGATGTTGGCAATAGCCCAAAGCTGCGGATATAAATTGCTTGCATTCTGAGCATCCTGTTTTATGGCTTGGAAACGGCTATACTTAACAAAACAGAAAACTGGATGCGACGGAAACGAAGATTCTAAGATCAATATTAGGGGTGAAGTGGCACGACCTGTTGGCAAATGTCAAATGCTATTGTAAGAGCGATTAAAATATTCGACTATTGCGACTGACTATTGCAAACAAGGCGTTAAACATGGTATGAGGGTCGTTGTCAACGAATGGACGATTGCCATCAAATGAAGCGGATGTAAACGCAAAGCCAGATCACAAGTCGCCGCTATGAGACATCCAACAGGATGGAAGGATCTGGTCAGAACTTACATTACACCAAAAGGACTAAAAAGTGAGCACGCATGTATTCCATCCAAATGGAATGCTGTTGTACGGCACCAGGCGTCACCCTCGATGCAAGAAGTTACAGAAACGATATGCTACAGGTAAATAGCTATTCTTTATCAGTAAGCGTCGCATGCGCGTTTTAAACCTTGTCAGAACTTTCCCTCTCGCATAAGAAGAACAATATGTAGGCTCATTAAATTGTATTTGCAAAGATTCTTCTCGATGTTGCGCCAGATAAATAGTTCAGCTCTTTCTTTTTTTCAAACCATGATTTAGCAAACAAAGTTATGTTGAAGTTTAAAATACGACCGGTTTCACTAAGGCTGAACTCGTAAATAACAAATATTCATGCTACAGTCCTCAACATTTAATATATCGTTCCAATGTTGAGTACCACACAACGTCCCACGTAATCTGGAGATTGACAGGACGAAGTTGGAGTACACTCTTATCATCCGCATTAGCTCAAAATCATCAGTAAAGATCTGCATGAACTCTGAAATGTATGGCCAATGAGGCTACGAAGCAGCCATCTTAGACAAATGAAGCAAAAAATGGATGCTTTCTGATTAAAAAACTGCACAGAATTTGCCATTCAGGCAAGATTATTCGTAACTTATCTGAGAATCATACTGGCTATGAGAATGAATTTAAAAAAGCTGCAAAAAAGAGAACACTTTTCAACGCTAAGTTGAATCTGCAGTCTGCTTCCTAGAAGGGACATTTTAAAAAGACCCGAACAGATCAAACGGGCTGCAGAACTACATCAGAAGAGAATACAAGCAATTCGACATAGCAAACGCTCTACAGTGGAATACGCGGTGTGATCTGCGCATTAAACGTTTTACTGCACAGCAATGCAGCAGAAAATGACGCTCACATAGGTGCATTTGGTCTAGCAGCAAGAGCTGTAATACACTGGAAGACAGTATGATAGAGCCATAATGGCTAGATTCAAGTACAGGTAGGTAAAAATTAATATTTGTTACGCACTACTTAAAGCCATGGCACAGACTTTAAAGTAATTTTATGGCATGCCGGCAACAGAGTCACAGGCAAGAAGCATTGATTGTGTTGGATGACTTCAATGTGAAACCGAAAACTGAAAATACATTTCATAGATATCTGACATCACATGACATAAGCGAGATGAATGACAGGATAAAATGACTTGCAAAACTCTGTTAAATGCCCGATCTGGTCGTTGACGACATACGGTTTCCTCACATATCAGTGCAGAGATTATATTGTACTCCGCCGATGCATCAGCGTGAAACAACCATATTGTTAATGCTTTCCCGGTCGGAAGACATCAAACACGTTTAGAAGAGCAGAGCATATTAGTGGACAGAAGCAGCCATGAAGTGATGATAACAAAATTGAAAACTAAGCCTTAGTCTTTGGTAACCAGACAAAAATCTGGCGCAAATTTTGAAGTAAACAAAGTGAAATGTCCAGAAGTATTTCAAGCATATCAAATCACCCATGGTAAAAAAAACCAGGTGACTCGATTATTCAGGCAATATTTATGGAATGTCATTTTTCAATATAAGCCAGGGTGATAAATCTCCTCACTGCAAATGATTTTGGGCGTGACATTGTTGAATTCTGTATTCTGTCCCGAGTTTCGACTTCCTGCGCAGAAATCATCAAAAAAACTTTAGAACATAAAGATGCAGGGTGCAATTCAACAGTAAGGTACAGATAAATTACGCAATAGCAGTAAACGCCGACCAAGCAAATGTACAACAATTGAGGGAACTTCACAAAGAGAATCAACTGGTCTTGAAACAAGAACAGTCAAAGTCGTAAAAATTAATAAGGTGTTATTTATCTTTTCAAGCGAAACAGATATCAATTTTAGCTACTGTAGCTGTTACACATTCTCTCCTTGTTAAGTGAATTATATAGATTTCTTAATGAGTAGGCTAAGCCTGTTCGTTTTATATTTAAGGATTGCGAAGTTTCTTGTATTAAAGATGTCCTTGCACTCTAACTCTTAACTGGCAACAAACCTGGAATGCTTGGATGGTTTCTCCTAACAGCAGCTTAGTGCTCTTTTATTCACATGCCAAGGTTCATCTATATCCACTGTAGATTAAATTGTAGTTTTAACATTTAATCTAATAAACCTGATGGTTAACCTTCGTGTACAATCACCTATATCAAATGGATCAGAGCAGATTTTACGTCTTCTAAAGAAACCGGAAGCCTTGTTTCTGAAGATAATGTCTAAGAGCGGGAGAGGTGTCAGTATAAAAGGAAATAGCGATGACAGATGTTAGCTCGTCACACCTTCTCTTGGAATCGCATTTGAGGACCGAAATTTAAACAAGGCATTTGGATCCATTTTTGCGAAAAATCTTATTCGAGAAACTACTCTTAATTAAGGAACCCAGGTCTTAAGTAATACTTTTGAGCCCTTATTTTCATATTTCTAATTGGAGGTAGAATGTTATATTGGAGGTACAACGTCACTGGTTGCCTAATTTTTTGTGGCTTTCTGAAAACAACAGAGGTGAACTGTTAACTATAACCTCGAGAAACGTTTTCTGACCCTAAAACTGAATTGCACACTATATAAATGGGTTGCGAAAGTTTCCCTAATGATGGCCCCTGAGTTAAAAGCCGAAACGTAACAATAAAACATAGGGGCATTTTATCTTATTTCATGCTCAAAGCCATTTGCACTGAAAGAAGTGAGGAGATTCAGACAATGGTTTTTGCATAAAGTTGGTGCATATTCAAGGAGGCACTAGTGACAACTGCACAGTAGTTACTATGAATCCAAAATGACGAGGGAAACCGTGGATCAGTTTGGAAACTTGACGGTTTCAAAACCTAAGCCTGACAGCCGATAACGAAAGCGTACAGAAGGAGAAAAATCATTACTGGTAAAGGGAGCTTGAATGCAAGATGTCGACAGAAAAAATATAACCGTGTTCAAAAAAATCCATCATTTTACTGATCTTCAAAAGGTTCGACTAATGACCATTAGAAAAGAGGATAACAATGCAACGTTCAACCCTAATCAGAAATATGGGAAAAGCAGTTTCAGTTGCTGCTTGACTCTGATGCGATTACAAAATAGCATTTCACCGTCGAATATCGTGCCTGGAAGAATGTCAATACTAATTTTCCAACCTTATATAAAGGGAAAAGAGGTACATAAAGATTTTGTCAGCTAAAAATCGCAAAATTGTAGTAATTGGTGGAATACAATCGAACCCTAGTAAAGAGTCCTGAATGAACGGAGTGCTGGTATCAACGACTCTGTTTTGATTGGTATGGCAGAAAGAGGACATTCGCAATGACTGGATGAAAATCGTAGTGTTCCCGATACTTAAAATTGGTCCTGGAACTTTTCTTTAGATCCATAGTAAAGAAAATCATCGATCTGCTGAAAAGCGGAAAACACGAGTCAAAGAATTCATATAAAATTAATGGCAATGCTGTCGTCTGCCAGAGTCACAGTAAAGCATTAACCGACACAAATTGACCTGGCTAGCCTAAGATCTGTCATCTTGTAGTTAAAACATCCCGTCAATCAACCCTTCCAGGGTTCATGGCAACCCTTCAAGACAGAGAGAATCAAGTGAATTACTTTGGTCTTGCTAACTCCACATGTAGCCACTGAGCTAATTCTCTGAACAGGTTTCTCCGATGAAAGACACAAAAACGGCCACGTTCAAAATACACGTCTTCAAGCGCTTCCGGAAAAAAACGCGAGAGAGATTACTGGTGATAAACAAGTTTCAAGAAGTTTCTAAAAGAGACACGACTAAGTTAGTGCAAAAAACATATAGAATGATTTTTCACTGAAATTGTACATAGAAAAACGAAGTTTGTAACCGTCGGAATGTTGGACTTCCTTACGCTTTGCGATAGAGTAGTGATACCCATTTCCAGGTCATCAGCCAGGGGTGACTTATTTTAAAGGCAGAGTCGACAGCAGCCATGTGACAGGCGTAGAGTGTATCTCCTGTTTTCTTCTCGCAGATTTATCAACCTCGAGCGAAAGGCGACTGACTTGACGGAGCTTGAATCCGCGATCTCTCGGTTCTGAATCAGCCGCTCCGCTGATTGAACAACACCGATCTTGCGATAATACGCTTTGAACCAGTTCAATGCAAAAAAAATCTTTCAGCACCTTGCGATTTTATAAACCGTCAAACGATAATAGTCGAATGAATCACTGGGTATGGGAGTACGCTTGTACATAGAAAATAATACAAGTGATAAAACTTCAGTCAGCAGCAAACTACAGCTCTTTTTCTGACGACTGCAGAGTTGCTCCTTTCGCTTTGTAAGTGACTCCTTCGATTTTCACCGAAACTATTTCATCTCTGTCCAACAAAAACGGCTTCGCATCCCAGACCCTGGAGCCATCAGCAAAAATGAATTTGTACTCGTACTGGCTGACACGCTGTCTGTCAAAGAAAATTTTAAGCAACATGCGTTAAACTAAACATATAACGCTTACGACGCAACCACAATGTGATTGTTAAACATACGAAGCACCCAGATTTCAGCAGCCGTGGAAGCTTCTGTCGGTGTCAAGGTTTCTCGTAGGTTAATAGTGACTGTGCTTGGAATGTTCTTTTTAATTATTTTAGACATTTCTTCGTTATTCTTCGCTGACAGCATCCTACGATCCAATTTTGGAGGGTGCTTGAAAATCGAGTCTTCATCTTCGTCATCGTCGCCAGCCTAAACTGATTCAGTTGCACGATCCAACTGATTTGCCAGGAGCATTTTCTGAGTATTTACACATGTTCAAAGATAAAGATAAGCACATCGTCTAACCATTGAATTACGACTACGCTTTAAATGATACCAACCCAAAAACTAGGGCTCTAAAAGCTAGGAAATGTTAAGCTGGAAAGGGCCATAATGCATTACATTAACCATACTTTGACTAGCTTTGATAAGTTCAGACGGAAAAAAAAGATAAACACCAAATCCTCTTTTAGGAGACATGCTCGCCAAGAACATCGAGGATAAAAGCGAACAACCGTTTGGTTTTGCAGTTTTTCGAAAACCTCAATATCTTAACAGGTACTTACATACAATGTCTTGAACCGCTAAAATAATTTTTAAAAATATTGCAAACTGCAAGATACTGGGTCTCTTAAAGCTTGTACCACTGATTCTGCTTATCAAGCAGAAAGTGAATATTAAGAGATTTCTTAATTAAAAGTGGCTACAGTGAATTATTAAGACATTTACTGAAACGCATTTTCAATGCTAAAAATAAGTTCAAAAATAGAAGTTATTCCACTACAGTCCTCCCTTTTGTTAAAAAAACGCTGTAACAATATGAAACTGAACTTCGAAATGGCAGGTTCATTGGGATCGCAAATCCAATGGGAACTTCGTTAGCCGGAGAGGACAAAAGAAATGAACGTGGTTCATACGATCGACGGCAAGGTTACCACAAGATCTGCATCTGGATAACTATATGAAAACTGGGCGAAAGTGTTGCGTAACATCGAGCAGCTCTGAGCAGTGAGAAAACAAAACATTTTGACATGGTTTCTCACGCTTCCCACTTAGGATACCGCTTTGTAAGAAATTATATTTCTGTTGATATGGAGAAAACAAACTTGATGCTGATAATCAAAGGATCGTTGCATACGTTGGCTAACAAAAGTCGACCGCGTAACGAATGTACGAGCTCGTTCAGTCTGAGTAACAGTCATTCAACATCGGCAGCTTGTTTAAAAGAAGTAATTAGGCAAGAGTTATTGTCACTTAAATTGTACACAATATCGTGCTATTTCATGTTATTCTGTAGCCTGATAACGATGATGGTGCGCAGCGACGAAACGCGCTGTTGTCTAGAACTATGGATCAGGAAGCGAAGATGAATAACAGTTATTCAAGCATACCGAATATTCATTCATGTAACGAATCGATACCTCGTTCCATAACTATTTCAGCATTAAGTACATGTTGTATAACGAAAGTATGCGATAAAATGTTAATGTTATTTAGTGGAAAAACTGCTAAATGAATCAGTCTTTTTCAAATATCAATAAGGTGGTTGCTGCTTTCTGCGGTACTAAGATATGCAGGGTTCAAGTCAAAGCCAAGGCAGCTGTCATCGTAATTATTTGCAAAAACAGGAAATAATAGGGAGCAATACTTAGCAAATCTAAAGTTACAAGGTGAGTCGAGGACTTACTCTGACCTGTTGCAACAAGCTGATAACTGTCAGGAGCATCAGCGGGAATAAGATTAGTGATGCTGCTGTTCAAAATCATGAAATCAATTGAGAAAAATGATATATGTAAATGGAACGTTGGAACATCAAAAAATTGAATTTGACAAGCTGTCTCTTCTATACCACTAGTGAAGAGTTCTTAAGACATCCATTGGCGTCGATGCAACCCTTGATGTATGAAGAAACTGAAGGTTGTTTACATACGATTCAACGCTCCTTTTAAGCTTCAACTCGAACTCTTGCATTTGACAAAACAGGCATTGCTACATACAAATTCACCGGTTCGCACAACCCTGCTGTTTCTAGACCGTTAAACGACCATTTAAGTCGGTGACATCTCCGTAGCATTGTAACATTTCCTATGAATCGCTGCAGTTCCCGCTATCACTATGGAGTAAGGCTATGTCTTGTACGTCGCTAATGGCATTTAAGCAGTTGATACTTCGTACCCAGTCTGCTCCCTTTCTCTTACCAGTAACGTCAGAAACATAGAGAACATAATCTTGGGCTGAAAAATAAAAGCGATCTGATTAAATTAAAATACACAACTACACTGCTACATGTATCTGCGGGATATCTGAAACTGAAAAACCATATCCTATGAGTAAAGAGGCATGGTAAATATAGATGCAGATATACTAGAACAGTG